GCCGTGCGGTGCCGTGATTTAGGAGGGGGCGTCCTGCCTGGGCAGGGAGAGATCAAAGGCAGCGGGACTGCTGTCGGACGAGCTCTCCCGAGAGGAGCCAGTCGGGCCAGGTACATCCCGAGCTGCTCTGCGGAGAGATGAGGTGGCAGGATACTTTGGGTGGAGGCAGATTGTCTCTGACAGAGGTGATTCTAAGGGGCAGTGACAAGCAACCTCAGCTGCGGCACTGCTCACCCATCCGGGGTGGGAACGTGCATCTTGGTCCCTGCACAGGGTCCCCAGGTGTCCCAAGCCAACCCTGACTTTTGGAGCAGGGACAGCTGGGAACACCACGTCCTTTAAAGAAAAAAAGGCAAATAAATTCAGCAGGGGCAGCAGCACCAGAAGCAAGAAGGGCTGTTTTATCAGCATGGTTTACAAAGCAGCTGGGAGCAGCAGGCAGGGAACAGTGACAGCAGCACAGGGAAAGCACCACCACCTCGCACCTCCTCCTGCTGTTAAAGGAGAGTTAACTTTCAGACAAGCTACAGAATTTGTTCTTCTGGCTTATGCTTGTTGAGGAAATTTCTCTTCCTTCCTCTAACAAACACGTGCTGGGCAGTGAATCTCCTCCCTGCAACCAGCCCAAGCGAGTGTCACAGCAGGCACGGGGCATCATGCAGCACCCAGCACTGTGCAGCACCCAGCACCGTGCAGCATCGGGCATCGCGTCATGGCTCTGTGCCCACAGGTTTTACCCATGCACAGTTGTCGAGGTTGCTGTCAGCATCTGCAGTTGGGATTGCTATTAATAAATCGTACCAACCCCTGCTTGCTCTGCAGCGCCCGTGGGAGTTAATGATTAAACTGGAGCTAGGGCAGTGCTCTAGGAACAAGTCAGATTTGTTCTCACTGCTCGTAAACCCCCGTGCAAGGAACAACAGTGACCCTTTCTGTCTCCTACAGGACTTCAAAGTTAAAGGATGTTTGGAAACAAAGAACAGCCAACTCTCCGGGAAGCAGGAGCGTACCCGCACCCCTGCACTGCTGAGGGCGGTCCATCTCCCAGGCCAAGCCAGTGGCCGCTGGTGGCCGCTGGGGCAGCGGCAGATCACA